ATATATATATATATATATATATATAGATGAGCAAGTTAGTGCAAGTATGTACGTTAGTGAAAGTGAAGTAATACAAAGTGAAAGATGTAGTCAAACAGATCTAGACTGTGTTTATAAGTTTAGCCATAAAGAATATATAGTTGCAGCTTTTATAGTGTAATAATTGCAAATTGTATAGTAGTAATAGAGTAGAGAAGAATAATTCGTCTTGTCAATTGGGTTCTAAAGTAACTGAACCAGCCTGTGTGAACGTATGATGTAAAAAAGAATTATTGAAAGCTTTGGATACAACTTTGGTAACCCATGGGGTAATGTAAGTGAATTTATCAGTGGTTGTATTGTGATAACAGAGTAGAGAAGAATAATTCGTTTGTTTAATGGGGTTCTAAAGTAACTGAACAAGCCTGTGTGGACTCTTGACAAAAAGACACGATTATTTATAGCTCTAGATACAATACACTGAGGGGATTAATTGTGTAATGAACATTTGTATATACATTTGACTTGTTTTGAATATATTATTTTGATACAAGTGGATTGTGTGATGTCTGTTTATTGTTGAAATATATCGCCAACAAGTCACAGACACCTACTGAAAATAATCCTGCTCATCCACGCATATGTAAAAACCTGGCAGAGATATTTCCTAATAGATTACTGAAGGACAGTATTGCAGCAGTATTCCTCCCCACCCAGGCAGAACAGGTATTATCTACTAGAAAACAACAAAAGAATAATGGCAGCTAGAATAAAATCAACGTAATGGCTTTCTCGACCACATGAGTTTGTGGACTGTGAGAATACTGTATCGTGTGATTGTGGCTAAGTTGATGTGAAGAAAGAAATTAGCAGTAATTATCTGGCAACGTGAGAGGAACTGGATAACGAAGAACTAGTGGAAAAGAACTTTAACTGCTTGGGTGTTCTCTCAGTTAGAACATTGTTTTGTTTTGTTTTTAATTATGCACAAAGCTACACAAGGGTTATCTGTGCTCTACCCACCACGGGTATCCGCAGACATACTGGGGGGGGGGTGACAGTCGGAACATATGGAATTATTTGTTTATTTATTGTTAAGCATAAAACTACACAATAAATTATTTCTACTGTGTCCATCGCGAGTATGGAAATCCTATTTTTAGCGATATAAGCCGTCAGATTTACCATTGAGCCACCAGGGGGTGTTTCCAGTAGGTAAATACACTGTAGAAGTTATTAAATTTGAACAGTTTTTTAGAAATATTATTACATCAAACGATTTGGAATATTTTAGGCCAGAGTTTTAGTCATATTAGAACTCAAATTAATGGTGTAACTCTCACTTGTTTTAAACTATAACAATCACTATTAACAATTTTCGAGTATAAATGCTTAAGAATTTAAAGCTTTAAAATTTATCCAAAAATATAACTATTGTGATCTCTAAATTGGATAAGGGTAAGTATTGTAATTTTAGATAAAGAAAGCCGAAGAAATTGTTTGTGACAGCACTATATTTGTGAAATTGAATCATGATCGTACTGATGAAAGGGAAGGTGAATTACAGAAGTTTTTGTTAAAATTGAAAATTAAAACTTTCTTAGTGGAAAATATTATTCAGACATTAGGTCATCATGTAGTCATCCTGGTATTTTTTTATGGATTGCCAATTGCTCATAAATAAGGACGTTCCATAAAACCGATCGTGTCTCACATTGGAACTTATAACCATGTCTAAGTAGGTTTTATGGTGGAATCTTTGAAAATATTTATCACAAATCAATACAACCTGAATGATAATATCGAATTTTCCGAAGAAATTCAACAACTCAAATCCAACAGTGATGTACATTGTGCGAGCTTCGATATTGAATCTTTGTATATTAATATACCACTGGAAGATACAATACAACTAAGTGTGGAATTGGTGTATAAAGACAATTCCAATGTGGTGTCTATGCTGAAATCGACTTTCTTAAACTGATGAATTTTGCCACCAAAAATTCACACTTCTTGATAAATGGTCAGCTCTATGATCAGATCGATGAAGTCACTATGGGTTAGATAATTGCACCATCCTTAGTCAGTTTATTTCTATGCTATCATGAAAAACAATGGTTGGAAAATTGCTCTCAACAGTTCAAACATCTCTACCACCATAGGTATATAGGTGATACTTTCACTATTTTTAGGAATTGCGATCAAGCCTTCCAATTTTTACAGTACTTAAACAGTAGACATAACCGCACAAGGTTTACTGTAGAACATCAACAAGATCACAAACTTCACTTTTTTTGGCTACTCTAACTTGTAACAAAGATAGAGAGTTCTAGTGTGCAATATATTCTAAGAAAACATTTACACGTTTATACTTTAATTTTGAAATTATTATTCCGAACGTTTTTTAAAAAAACTTAGTTCAAATATTTATTCATTGTACGTTTAAAATATATAGTACATACGAAGGTATGCACAAATAATTTGTTAACGTCAAGGATTTCTTGTATAAAAATATGTTTCCTATTGCTATGATTTTCAAAATAAGTTGTCAATATTTAAATAAGAGAAAATTATGTAATATTATTCCAATTAAAGTGTCTTAATACCCTGTTGTTTTTATGAATCAGCTAAGACGGATCATTCATCGAGAACACGCAAGCACGAGTAAGGTGTATTTTCAAACCTAACTGTCGTCTACAATCGTTTTACAAATTTAAGGACCATATTCCTATGTTACATTCGGCCTTGGTAGTTTACAAATTTACTTCTTTTTGTTATCAGCAAAGTTATATTGGCTCTAGGAGAAGGAAACTAATAACACGCATAAAAGAATACTCTAATTTCAGATCACCCACTATATCTCTGAGATTGTGACGTCACATCCAATTTGTTTAAGATTCTAGCTAGGGCCAATGATGAAAGAAGCCTCCCAATGAAAAAAGAATCTTCTGATTCACAAACTGAGGCGTGAGATCAAGTAGTTGAGTTGTAGATTAGTACTAAAGCTTTAAAATATGAAACATGAATATTCATTTTATGTTAACATGTTTATGTTAAAATTCTAAATTCTTATTTTTCTTCTAATTACTATGCAAAATAACATTGTAAATATGATTAAAATGACATCTAGGTTAAGTTGTCTAAGATGTTCATCTATTTCATCTTTCATTGCACATTTGATATAAAGAGCACAAGAAACTCGACAAGATGTTAAGTTTATAAAGAAAATTACCAGCGGTAGAGGAAGCCGGAAAAAGTATGTCTCAGTTTATTATAAAATAATATTTTGTTGAATGGAAAGTCTAACAACATTTTAGCCAGCTTTCTATCGAGAAAATGCAAATGTTTTATAAAAGAACAACTAAGAATTTTTAAGGACTCTGTGAATGGAGTTTTGAATAACCTTTTTCTGGTGGTTTGAAAGTAAAGGGAGTTGCTTACGAAAATATAAATAGATATGATACTCTAAGTTTAAAAATGCAGTTTACTGTGCACCATGTATTCTATTCGGAACAAGTGAACGAGAAAAAAGGTTATCCAGCGATCCTGAAAGCGACTGGTAAAGCATCAACGCATTTGTGTCATTTTATTTTGAGGGCAGGATCTGCTAACCATGGATGCACTGCCATGGCTAAAATTTTCTTGGCAGTACAAGACAATAGAGAGAAGAATGTCATCAAATAAATAAGGTCATATCATGATGAAGTTATCCAATGAAACATACTGTTACGTATTTGCTTGTTTGTTTGCTTCCGGTAGAAATTCTTTCTGAGGATCTTCAGCGATACAAGTCCTTTCTTGATTAAACCAGTTTATTCTTCCTTGATACAAACTTTTAGTACATAGAAAATTCCACAATCAGTACGTTTCTCGTCACTTTAAGCTTAACAACTTTTATAATACAAGCTATAAATCACAGCGATTCACAATATTGATAACTTCACTCTCGACGAGTGCAAGACACACACTTTACGGTTCACTAGCTCGAAGCTAACAGGATCATAAACTACACGGAACTCAAAGTAACTACTGTTCTCTCTTCATTTATATA